GAGTGAAATCCAAACGTAACAGACGGCATTTTGATTTGTTTGTGGATTAACGGCGTGCATGCCGTCTACTGTCCCAAATAAGTTCCTTGCTTCATTCGTAGTACCTGAGTAACAGTTTTTGAAACAATCCCTTGATGGAACAAGAATGGTGAAAATCTGCTTTTTTCATGACCATGGCCAGATTCCTAAACATTAAATTGTTTTCATCAAAACTATGTGGCCGCATAGAAACCAAGCAAAAATACAAATATAGCATTTTTCTGTGGCATGATGAAATCTACAATCTCGCTGACATACCATAGCATGCATGCAGTTGGAGTCACCAGACAGGGTGGAATTACGTCTAGGTTAGACCCCATCTGCAACGAACTGGTACGTAAAGGGTAACACTGAGTAGAGGTATCGTGAACAATATGAATGCCAAATGATACGAGATGGTCACAAAAATATGCCGTACTCATTGCATCATGAAAGTTGCATGGTGAAATAGAGTGTAGCTGGAAGCATGTACGCAAAAAACCATGGGAATGCATCTATCCAATGATTGATTGATTGGATTAGTTGGCGGTTCTAACCAATCGCCTGAGTTGGCCTAACCCTGTTCCGATTCGTTGTCCCAGAGTAAAGCGGTTTTCAGGGAGCATGTTGTCTCTCTGACAGTATATATTCAATCAAAGATATGCACACACATTTTTTGTCTGGTACGAATGGTACGAATCTCCACACCATAGGGTTGTCACGCAAAACCACCGTTCTGTTTGGATACCTGCTAAATGTCTGGAAATCCCAGTTATGGGCGGCATTTCATACAAAACGAATTAAGCCCCTGAAGAGAATTTTACTAGCTATAATGACCTAACAAGCATCTTAATTCAACAATTAGTCAAGCATGCGACGATAGGATTAACCGCGAGCGGGAATTTGACGAGATTGGAACAAACGCACAGAGAGCGAGAGAGAGAATCTCGTTCCTTACCAGGACGTTTTGTCCCCGGCTGCACCGGGGCTGGAGGCGGTGGCATGTTTGATGCATCCTTCGGCTCTGTTCCCGATGTTTGATTATCGATCGGTTCACCATTTTCCTTATCTGACCCTGCTTTTGCATTGAGCGGAGCACCGGGAATGAATGTTTTTACAGTGGTTGTTCCGTTGGTCGCGTTCTGGGCACGAATACCGCTCCGCAGGTTCGGTGCACCCTTCGCATTGCCCGCACCACTCGCAAGCGCGGGTAATCGTTTGAACATGCTGTGCGCGATTCGACGCTCGGATTGGGTCACACGTTTATAGTCCAGGAACCGAAGCTGGGACAGATAGACGAGTTGTAAATGGACCAGTTAAATAGATCAATCAAACTGAATTAGGTGAGGGGGGAGTGGTGGTCAAAGACAAAATGAAACAACAACAAAAGACAATTCCCGTGACGTACAATTTGAATATTCTAAATGGAAACCATTTCACTGTCTCTCTGTTGTGAGTTCTGATGGCGAACGATAGGACTCCGAATGGGGCACGCCACATTCCACCGCCGCGAACTGATATCGTACAGATCACACTTGTCTGCATCCGGATTGTGGGTTAAACCGGAAAAAGACCAACCTATAAAGGGTTAGTGTATGAAAACTGCGATCCATTGGCGGCCGCTGTTCCCTTCATCGGATTCCGTGTCCGTGAGACACGGTTTACACGTCAAGGGCATCTTGGAGCCGGTTCATGCTACACTACACTACACTATGATGAGCTGGCTACCCATGAGGGCATCAAAATGACCATAACACATTGTCAAGGGGAAGCAGCTAGTACGACTTCAGTAGGTACTTTAGGAAAAGCCCTCTATGGGAGCCCTTCTTTGGAAGAGATTTAATCCCCGGTCCTAACCCAATCAAAGTGTATTGTAAGCCTTTTCTATATCGTACCGCAACCTCTTCCGATTTGAATTTCACTGTTGTGCTACTGTTACGCTTAGCTGTGTGACGGGTAGACTTTGTTTCTACCATTGCTGTCACGGACTGTTACTGCTGTCCTGTATTTGGTAGCTCACCTGACTGTAAGATCTTAGAACTACGATTTATACTATTTGTCAAAAAACGCTGCTACTTTATTGGACTTCGCGCTGCTGCCCGTAGCCGTGTTCTGTCCATATCGTGCGTATGACTATCAAGACTAAGTGACTGAAGAATATATATATTACTTGTCATGAAATATTCTGCAAGAACGATCAAGTCACGTTTGTTGCGGTTAGTAGCATCTAACCCACCTACAACATCATAGCATTGATTCTTCAATGGACTGGCTCTGAAAGAGCTATCTATTCAAAAGTCACTCGGTGTTGCAAACAAGGTTATTGTGACGAAAACACACTTCCTAGGTACACGTATATGAATAAACAGGCAAAATATTATCCGGTACGCATGCCTGGCGAACGGCAAGGACAGGGAAACTGGTCGTGTGCTTCAAGGGAAATTTTTGTCCAGTCACTCACTACTGATTCTTCTCAGAATCATTTTGTGTTCTTCCATCTCATTGCCCACTATCGCTTCTTATTTGTCCCGTTGACATTTGTTTCGTTCTGGTTATTGATTTCTTACATAATCCAGCGGTTGCTTTGTTCTCCCAGTCTCTGACACGTCAATGGACATGCAGACACGCACACCGCTCACTCGTATGACTTCAACCACACCGGTTCTCTTGTGACCTTCATTGTCCCTTACTATTGGTTGACCTACGTTCCGTCTGGCCTTGTTCTGTCCCGGTTCACCGCTCATTATGTGGATGATGTGTTGTATATATTAGACGCAAATGTGGACACTAATCGATTGCTTGAGGAGTTCAATAATGTCCATCCGAACATAAAGTTTACTCTGGAAAAAGAAGAGAATAATAGTCTAGCGTTTCTAGACATACTCATAAGACGCCACAGCGATAGCTCTGTCCAGTTATCAGTGCATAGAAAAGCAGCGTGGAATGGACAATATATCCATTTCCATAGTTTTGTCTCTCTTTAGAGGAAGATAACCCTAATTCGCTCATTGGTTTAAAGAGCGAAGAAAATATGCGCGAGGGATACTATCGACAATGAACTTCACTTCCTACGTACTGTTTTTGTTCAGAATGGCTACCCCGAACGATTTATCGATAGAGCAATGCTAGAACACAAGGAACGGCCAAAGGAAATAGGAGCAGCGAAGAAGTCTGTCTATGTGCACTTGCCGTTCAAGGGAGATAAAGAGGCAGAAGTCTTTCAAAGAAAGCTAACAAGTGCAGTAAGCAGAACATTTTACGCTGTTCACACCCAAAACAATTGTTTCCGACTGAAGGATAGAGTGCCAGATTCTGCAGCCTCATTCTGTGTATACTCATTCACCTGTTCCTGGGCACATTGGCCGCACGACCAGGTGCTTATTCGATCGCGTTCTCGAACACCACTCGGCTTGGCTGAGGCAAGACAAGACAAGACAATTACGAGCGCGGTGTGTTCGCTCCGCTCTGCATCTGGTTGAGTGAAATCACTCGGTAGATGTGGCAAGCTCGTTCCGACCGATTTGCAAGGTTCAATGCGAGCAATTAAGAGCATTTTAGCCACGACCGAAGCCGTAAGTATTCGGATTTACAACCCCCCCCCCTTGTGCGCCTAGAGGAAATTTGTGCAAGCACTTAATCTCCCTGGCCCACTTCAGGCACTCCAACACGTGTGCAATCACGTGAACTTTTGACACTGTGATCAATTTCACACAAACACAAGCACGCATGATTGGAGCCACAGCTGAATCATTAGGACTCGAATCTCTCATTTTTTGTTTTGTTCTTATTATTAGTCATATTTAATGTTATGTAATGGCATGATTACGAATAACTGAAAACGAGCTTGTTCGCCACGCTGTTGTTTTCACCGCTTGTTATTTATTGTTGATAAGTTTCACAATATCAGATCCAAATTTGGAACGAATGTTGATTTATTTAACCACCCACGCACATGTGACTTGTTCTGATGGCTCCTTGGGAGTCATTTATTCATGTACATACACACGCACATGCATGCATGCACGCCTGTCGTTGTTTGCTGGGAGGTCGAATTATGTGCACCCAACTCTCTTATGCTTGGCTCATCCTTTGGGAGTTTCATGTCACTGCCTGACCGGACATTTTTTGTTTGACTCCGCATACTCTGATCACATTCTCTCTTTGACACAGCGGTGACCTGTCCCCTTTTGAAGTACCTTGATCGTATGGTGCATTTCGACAGCCGAGGGCTGTCATATTCCTATTTTACGCACTTATATCTGGAAGTAACTTGACGACTGTCCTAACCCAGATACCCTATATTATTACCTATGTTACCTATATCATTTCTCATGTCATTAAATGATTCGTATCAATAGTACCGTATCACTAGACAGTCTTGGAACCGAGACTTTGCGCGTCACTTGTTGGCAGATTCAACAATTGGAAGACAGTCCACTCTAATTCCACAGAAAAGGAATTAACAGGCTATGTCAGCACCAGTTTTAGCGACAGAAGTTAACGCTATCCGGTCATTATGACTGAATTGGTTAGAGAAGAAACCTGTAAGGAACCGATGCAAACCGGCCATTTGCCTTTGCAACTAAGGTGAAAACGCAGGGAAAATACGCACAATACGAAAGATTTGGGTACCCCAGAAAATTAATGTCAGGCACGACCATTTCTTATGCATATCAAAGCCTATTCTGCTCTTTGAGTATCCACCTCCCCCTTCAACAAAAGGAATTAAAATATAGATAAACAAAAATAAAAAAGATAAGTATTTATTGGATCCGATAAAACCTAGAACGAGAGTTAGATATGGCCTCGCAAATCCGCAAAACAGTGAGATGTGACTGAGAAACGAGGCTTATTTTGACAATGTATCCGTCAGTGACAGCTGCTCTGGATCACATCATCTGCAACAGTAGCCACAATTATGAATCTCCATATTTGGACATCTGACCAATCAGTCGAGAGGGATAAGCAAGAGCTCTTGATGTGCCTTTATTAATAAAAGTCTTCATAAAAAAGGGTAAAAAGTGAACTGCATGACATATGGCAGAGTGAAGGCGTCCGAAAGCATAAGCATGGTCGGGGATGAGTGTCTTGGGTTGTGTCTGGTCACACCGTGCGAAATGCTTCCTATACGACCAAGCGTTCCACACAGTCTTAGCTGGGGAAGCTCTATTCACTACCTTCACATGACGAGTTTCGGTCTATGAGAAGCCAACATCCGAGGCTATAATCGGGTTGATGAACCACTGGAGGTTCACTTAGGGGAGTTGTCCGAAAACCCTAATTCCAAACCAATCAAGAAGAGGCGTAAGAACCACACATCCACAAGCTGCTGCTTGTAGCAGTGGTCACCGGCTTGATCGAAAATCGTTCAAAAGGGTGTGCGATCCGATGAACTTGACATCGACCCCCCTCCGACTCCCAAATGGATTGCGTTTTTTACACACCGTCCAGCTAGTTTGTGGATCAGGCTTGGGTTAGTCAAAGGCTTCGGTTGTGAATTCATCTTTGTGGTCTGAATAACCTGGCTATGTTCCTCCCAATAGCAAAGTAAGGACCTTTTTCATTGCTATAAAGATTACTGTACAGAGAATTGTTTGGCACAGTCTGAAATCAGACAGGAAGAAACAACAGGGTTCAAGTAGGTCACTGCAAGCCGTTATCAACTATGATGCGTTGGAATAGATAGATAGATAACGGGAAAAGCCGGAATTGATGTCTTTCGTGAGATGTCAGCACATGAGATAGCCAAATGGTGTGATTGGACCACATCAACCGCGGCACAATATGAAAAGTGGAAACAGCTATAAAACGTTCAAAAAGGTTGGAGGACAGAAAATGTTTCCAGCAAAAGACAAGCACAGGATGCTACATATAGCTTCAAACTCCGTGAGTCATGCATAAGAGATAAGAACGGGGCTTGAGTTGGATGTTTCGGTGCGAACGACACAACGAAAAATGAAAATGGTCCCCTGGATAAAATACAAGATGAGAAGGCGCGAAGCTCTAGCAATATTAAGAATAGAAAAAACATTCATTATGCAGCTAAACTCTTATAACTTGGAAAAATGTATGGAATTTTTTTACTTTAGCGATAAAGAGGGATTAATTTGAATTAATCCGACGCATGGAACTACCATTGGCATGACTTTGGAAATAAGAACAGTGCATCAGAAACTGGGTTAGCGCAATACTTATATTGTCGAGTGCACACCGTCGAAAAGCCCTGTTCCATCCGGTTTGTTCAGAATAGACAGGCAGTGCAGCATATCTATCAAGCACTTGGTGGCTCTAACCCGAACGTACGGCCCCAGGTTATCTGCGCTGGCCTCAGTGGTTTGTATCACGGGAGCACTACATGATATCACGCTCGTTTGTGCCGTCAGACATCGATTACCGCCAATTCGTGCGGTGTTCAATACCAAATGAACAGGGTTCCATTGCTGAGCACGCTACTTAAACTGTTTAAGTAGTAGGAAGTTAAATGGTTATAAAATGACAGCCACAAATGAAACACCCAGGAAGTGTTGTATTGATATCCATTTACTTGCAGATTGAAGCAGCAACTTTATTCGACCAATTTAGAAAAGAACTGATGATCCAACACAGTTGAAAATTTTCATTTTTACAATCAACTATCACAACAGAATTTTGGCGGAAGACAGATTTATTATTGTCTAACTTGTAGGAATCGTATGGAATTCTTCACACCTTGCCGCGGGGTGCAGACCACCTGCCTGCTCCAAACCAAGGAGATTCACCCTTTCTACTGTTCACTACAGTGCGATGCGTATTCAAAGAAAAAGAATTTAGCAGGTTCCAATGAAATAGTCCTGTGCAAAAAACAAACAAACAGAGAAACTCACCCGTGTTAATCCGAAATGATAGTATCGCACCGAAATGTTACACACGGATTCACGCTTCCCGCACAGTTCACTATGAGGACACTACGAGGGAGGAAACGAGAACATGGCATGCAAGGTAAAGACCATGGGAACGAAAAATCGATACAGCTTACTTTAAAAAGATCACCACCGGTTATGTGACCGTCTTTATTCCAATAAATTCCAAAATAGTCTATATTTGTGCAGCACCGTACAACATTATGTTAGCTACTTTAAATTTTCGAAACATCTTACATGCGGTTGACCACATTTAAGATGTGTTTCAAAATATTTAAGACTCATATTGCCGATATGGATGGCGACACAGAAGATTCTTCGTAACGGGTCTTATGACTACACTGTTACCCACTTCAAACAAATATTAATTTGAGAATAATAAAAAGTCATGAATATACCCGTCTATTCGAAGCCTGTCAGATATCTCACAAAATTACTAAAACACAATGCGAAAACTCATGATGCTTGTTATGATCAAACCTTCAATGACTACTGGGAGTTTCCTTGCACGAGTAGGGTTTGAAATCTTCCGAGGTCTAAATTTTGTTATTTCACGTGTGACTTCAATGGTATTAGGTGATGCCATTTTTTTCGAATTCAATGCCTTTTTTCACTGCTTGAAAGGAAACTTTCAAGTTGAATAGAGAAACTAAAAACATACGTTTGCACAATGTATCCTGGATCATTTTGCTGCAGCTGAACACGTGCATACTGCAGTTAATGTGATTATTAATATATGGTCAGAAGTAATACAATCATGGGCCGAGAAAGAATGCGCTCAAAATCACTCACCAAACATCTGTTGGTAAGGTAGCGCGAGTGATAAGCCATTCACGATGTTTACATGTGTTTTTGGCTTTTCTATTCAAACTTGTTACGGGGAAACTGTGCTTCCAAAGAACCCCAATTATTGGTCTAAGAGTGACTTACAAAGGTATACACGTAGGAAACATCAAAAGTTTCTGGCATCGTGGTTTACTAAGTTCGTAGGAGAAAAAAATCGTTGACAGCGAAATACCTAACTACTTTTGAGTACACAGACCTGGGCATACGGAAACCAAACGATGCCTCTGCTGTTGTCCCGCGCATGGGTAGATGAAACACGGATAGTGTGAAATGGCCCTCATAATATCTTCATATTTCGGCACCAAGTGTCACCGCTATCATGTTCTGCTGTGGAGAATCCAGTTAACATGATGCCCCATTGTACTCAGTCAGCTACGTAAGGGATAGTGATGGTGGTCGGTTACAGCTACTCGATATCCATCATAACAGCTGGTGTCCCACGAAACAAACCGATTACTGTTAGCATAAAAGTTATTCGCAGAATTACAACATGGACGGCTGATGTAACTTGTTTTCAAACTTTTACACGGTTATCTCCTTCCAGGGGGATAGTTTAGCTCCGTGGCTATGGTTGCACAGGCGCGGTGGTTCAATGTTAGAGGTCTAGGAGCTCTACATGTTTCTCGATGAAACGGATCCACTTTTCGAGCCACCTCCCCCATTCCCTGAAGGAAACAACACCAAACAGGACAAAAATTAGGATTAGCTTCAACTCGGGTTACCGTAGGATATGGCCAAACCGTTGTTGTTGATTCGCATTCCTTCAACCTTCGTCTGAAGGATGATAGCACTCGCTGGGGTAACGGTTGATGAAAAACTGCTGAACTGACGGTTCCGAGCACGTTGATAATATCTTGTTTTTCATGTATTTATTTCTAGGCCAATGGATTTCGTGAATAAACGATTCGGTCGAGGACTGAATGGGATGTACAAGGTCAGTGCATCAGACCGATGAACGTCCGTGAACTCCAGCTGTGATATGTACCTGGCCTGACTCAGATGGATGCCCCAGTAGCCGGTCAATGCCGATCTCATTGTCTAGTCGACACTATAGTTGAAAAACACTGGCGGAAGGGGACAGCCTTGTCTGAATCCGGAACTAAGTGAAAAATTCAAAAAGATTCTTCGCTATAGACGCGGACCCTCACGCCGATCATACAGTAGTATTATTGACTTAGGATTTTACCAAGCATCCTATAGGTTTTAGCATGACCCAGAGAATCAGACAACTGGTCGAGTCGAGGCCTGCTTGAAAGTTGAAAGCTATGCTGGGTTATTGGAACTTATAGAGGTGCTATGCGGTGCTGATGTAATAAATGCATGAAACCTTGCTTGAAAGAGTGGATCAAAGTAGGAATGGATAACACCAGTGTAATTTTATCCAGCTGGCTGTTCTACCTTATTTAGACCATGTGTAGTTTCACTTAAAAGGTAAAATTCACCCATTTATGTTTTTGAAAGACAGGTTTTGGAATTAGAGTAAAAGAGAGGTTGGAAAAATGGGAAACGAACATGTAGATACGCAGCAGGATGCTCCTGAGCTGCTAATTTGATCGTTCTATCCCATGAGCGGTAAGTTGAACAAATAACAATATTCAAAAGTATGGAATAGACTGCACAAAAGGCGGTCGTAAGCTGGCAGTTTGGTTTTCTGTGCGTGAGCGAAATTTTAAAATGAACGGGTGAATTTATTTATTAAGAACACACAATGTAGGCGAACATGTTTTCGGTGAATTCCTTCTCAAGTCTTTACAATCATTTACAATCATAGGAAACGATTTCAATAGGAGTATACAGAAGGGTGGGTGAGTCATGTTTGGTTGACCCTATTGAAATCGTTTCACATAAGTGTGATTGTAAAGGCTTGAAAAGGAATTCACCGAAAACATATGTTGGCCTNGCTTTGTATTGCTTTTTTAATTACAATAACCATACTGGGCAGATATATTGGAACCCCACTGAATTTTGCATGAGTGAAACAACACGGAACAGCGGTCTGAACCCTGTACTCGAATCGCAACTCTATCAGACATGTATGAACAGAGTATCCGTACAGGTTTGCCGAAGATGGAGGAACAAAAGATACAGTGCAACAGATGTTGATAAAACAAACCAATAAGGGAAACCAGCTTTTCCTACAAAACTATATTTTTTTTACTTTTTCGTGTCAAAGGGGATTCCTATCGCATCATGAGCCAGGTTCAATCTTGATTCTACCGAAAATTGTGACTTTCAAGCTAATTTCCAAGGACACCATGATGAAGTGAAAAAAGTACAGGAATGCCATCCTTACACGGCTGGACATCAGGTAACACCAAACAATACGAATCTGTGACTCTACAGTCTCTTGTCAGGTTGAGTGATTCTTAATTGCGCAAACCGCGGAAAGTTATTCAATCAAATCGCAAACAAGGTCAGAAGGGAATTTAGCTCGGTGAGGTTACGGGTCATATAATGTGAAGTAATTGCACTGCACATAAACAGAAGAGCTGCTCTCTAAGTCACCTTTGGATTGAGTCAAATACATAACTACACTGGAAAGTTTGTCACCCTTCTGCTTTCGCTTCCGCCTGGTCTCTGGATGGAACCCCTCTGGGTGTTTCGGTTTTGACTGGGCTACACTGGTTTTGTGTCTCAAAGGTACAGCAGATGCGTACATCCAATCGCTTGAGTCGTGATTACCATTCGTCTTGTTAGATTACAACACAAACAAAAGATCTCAACCTTTCTTACCAAGAGTAATCAAGTGCCAAGCATAAGATTTACATTCCTTTTACCAAGCAAACCAGAAGAGTTGTGTAATTTGCAAAAGGACAGGCACTCTATTCCTTCATTTAGTAATTCCCATGCTCCATTGGTACTTTGGTTCAGCTCGGATGTTCTTAACACGATAGGGAACGTCAATCTTGCCTTATCTTAAATCCATTCTGCAAACTGATCCCCATTTTTAAACACTATATTTGTATCAAGCGGAATTCACATTAAACTCTTCACTCACTTAAGATCATTTTCAGCATTGAAAGGTAGCTTGGTTAAGCGTCACAGGTCCATGCTGTGAGTTGATTTATCGCCTCTATACTGTTAACTTATAGAACTAAGTGGAATATAATCCACTGATTTACTAAATCCGCCGTAAATGTACTCTAGATTGCAAACATTTTAGCCGATGTGTCGGACGTTCAGATGCCCGCCGTTTCCGTGTGCTGCTTACCGGTCCCCATTGTCATCAATTGAATGCCTACCATGAGTAGTGGGATGTGGTAATTGCGTTGCGAGCAGCTAAATCGGAGCATTAGAAAAGCTTATAAATGGAAAATATCATTTTCAGTTGGATTATCACTGTCAGTGTCACATAGAAGCGACCACATTGACCTTGCAGTGCTCGACCAACAAAGGCTCCATAAAGAGAAAACAGTATTGCGACGAGCTACATTCGATCGGTTACTACCCCCGCAAACGGGTTCATGTATATCTATTTAGCTATTCAAGACAAATTTGCACCACTTCAATGTAGTCCATGGCATGAACAGATGGATTAACAGTGTTTTCAAACTGATTAATTTCGAGGAACCATGTAAAAAAAAACTCCTGCCACAAGTGCCCAGTTGTTGGATTAACATGCTTGCTGGCAATAAATAGATGTCACCCAGGGGGGGGGTGAGGGTGTTAAATAAGCCGAATGTCGGATAGTTATTAATAGAATGATAAAATAGCTCACCGGGGCGAATATATGCACATCTTCTCCACCATGATTAACCTAGAACAAAAGAGTACAAAGAGAATAAAAAAAGTACGCACTGCTGACGAATCCCAAACAGGACGAAACAGCTGTCCAGTGCTCTTTGTTGGTTATCGCAAACAAAAGAAACCAGTTTTTAGGGAGGACATTTAGATGTAGTATTACATCCTAATTTCAGCATTGAACTAGAGAGCAACCAACATGCAACACTGGCAAACAGGTTGTCCGAATATTATCTCCAGTTGTTTGAGCATCATCTTAAGCTGCTTCATTGACCCCATCGGATCTGCCAGGCTCCACGATGGTGTTCCCGGAATCGAGAAACTGAAATGTCCCTACGATTTTTGTGCACCTTCCGGTATTCGGCTAGTTTTATTTGACAGTAAGACTGTTCGAAGCCAGTTCGCATTAGCTGCCTCTGAAATCCTCAGTATGGTCGAGGGGGGGTGTCTAGAGTTTCGGCTGTTCACCATTCCCTTGCACCTCGCGAAATGCTCCCATACGACCGAGCGTCTCAAATAGCCTCTGCTGAGAAAGTCCTACTTACTGTCTTCTCGTGGCGGAGGTGTTTTCCCACCAAATTGAGAGGATGAAAGGCGGATATCCGGGGCTATAACTGGGCTGGTGAACCACTGGCATTTCACCTACGGGAGTTGACCAAAAGCCCTGATTCCAAACCAACTAAGAGGAGGCGTACGAACTACGTCTACACCTTTCCGGTTGGGCAGTATTATCTTTTGATATAGAAATCTGGTTAATATGCTATGAGAAATGTACAGAGATTTTCATGAAGACTATGCTACATAAAACGACAGTTTTGGTAGCGTTCTTTAGTGGATTGTGACAGTAAATTACCATTATCTCTTGAGAATGCCGAAAAATCGGGCACGTTTGATTTCGTTATTCCAAATCCTTAATAAAATTCACCGTACACCTCTGGATACGAAGTTTTTATGACACATCTACTTTCAACTTTTGGGCAATATTTGGGATCAATCCCTGAAGCACTCTGGGAATACTGATCCAAGTGGCAACACGTTTTTTTCTTCGAGGATGCTTATCTAGCTTATACACACCCAAGTGTTACCCATGGGGCAACAGGGTCGTGGCAATGGTCGGATTTAGTAGAGGGCCAGATTCGCCGGCGACCCGTTGTTTTCAGCGGACACTGATAGCTATTATTGGAAACAGATGGTTTGCCAGGTGAAAACCCATTACATCCTTGGGCATGGACGATAATCGTTCGCAGTCTATTATTCGACGAGGCTACGTGCATCTGTTCAGGGTTACCCGCTTTCAATCCACAACTATTGTATGAACTCCGGGTTATTATACTTAGCTGAATATTGAAACATATATTAGGATAAGGGACAGAATTTTATGGTATAGTAGCTAACAGAAAAAAATAATTCCACTATATGACGCACAGAAGAATAACTGACGGGTTTTGAGTAATCTGTCTTTAATACAATTGACAACTTGAGTTTGGAGTTTTCATTGTCGCCTTTTGAAGAAACTACACAGTTTCATGATTATCCAATGCCTTGAAATATGGCTCTACTATTATTTCAGTTTACAAAATTTCTCCAATCTTAATGAAGATATTAACCGATAAAAATCCCAAAGCCCTGGAGATATAAGGCCTTCATAACCCGATTCATGACAGAGAAAATTACGAGTGTGAAGTTGACAGTTTTTCAACACTGGACCTATGCAATAGACACACACACACACACACACAAAAAACCTACCAACCAATCACGCGCTTCTAGTATGCCTGCAAATCCCGCCCTAGTTCCTTGTTCAATGAGAACGAGAAAATTGGAGGTACGACCCCACAAATTGGAAAGGACACGTTCACGTGCTGATTTCCCGGGCAATTCGAGCAAACTGTGCGCACTGACAACCAGGTCATACTTTTGCTGAAAGTGTGAGAAACAAAGAAAAATACAACGGTTAGTATTTGAAAGGAAAGCTTAAATCTGAATGGATTAGGATTAACGGGAAATACAGATAAGAACTCACTATTACTTATGTGCAGTAACGTAGGATAAATGATGCCGATTTGGATTGACCATCCTTCAGACTTCATCGTCGTGCACAACCTTCGGTTCATTTAGTCAATCATACACTCAGGAAGTGCCAGACTTGAGCTTCACTCCTGTTAGAGATCAACAGTAGTGCACATCTACCGCCCCATCTTGGAATTTACACTCTGGAATCCCCGCATGGAAGGCGCGAGTAAATTATGAAGAACGACCAATTCAAATTAACACCATTTATCTCACGCCACTATTCATGAGTAATTGTGAGTTAACGGTGAATGAAGAAACCAGTCTAGGAGGTGTAACTGGGGCAAGTGTACCCGAACCAACATGGAAGACCTGACTTCGACGGGGGGGGGAGCTGGTTGAGATGAAGCTAACAGACAGTCAACCGTGTCTCACTTCGTTATCGGGCCAAAATGAACTGATTATCGATAATAACTACATCTGACCAAACTTGAACAGATGATTTCAGCTGGGTTGGTGGGAACAATGACAACACACTTTCTGTGTGACCGGTTAGGAGCTCGAATCCCGGATAGAACGTCATATATGCGCCTGTAATTTCACTCGTACAAGAACGACGCGCGAGTGCAGCGCATCAAGGTGAGATTGTTCCAAATCAAAGGGAACGTTTTGTGAAACTGACCTTATTTGACGGCATAAAACGGCGGTGATAGATACCGGGAAAAATAGTCTCCGGCGAACGAGTTGCGAGATTCTTGCGCAACATATATTCCGAAATCCTCGTCATGTCGCCCGAAGGTTCGACCATATAGTGTTCCCGCACACAACCCACTGGCCATACTGTATTTACGGCCCTATAGTTGACAGAGGAAGGGCGGGAAAGAGAACTGGAAGATGTTAAACAGACCAGATTTGATTGCTATGCGTCAGAACTGTGACAGTAATCTACCGAAGTGAAGTTCAGTGATTACTTAAAACGTTTTAGACATTTAGGGGGTTTTATTAGGGCAAATAATTGTCTATGATTTTGGTCACTATGATCATTGGCAACGATCAGTGTGAAAGGTTATGAAGCGTCAGGAACACATAAAGAGAGGATAGAAATAAAAAGGTCGAAAGTACAAGTTATGTAGTCGTTTCCTAAAGTGGTATACCATAGTGCAATCTCTTCATAATGGATAAAATAAAACCAATTAATAAAGTGCACTGTTTTTTACCTGCAACCAAAACCGGCGCACGAAAGTGCATGGTTAATGGTTGTTCAAACTGAAACTGAACCTGCTGTGAATGTGATTCAATGAGGCAAGACAAGGGTAAATGAGGTCAAATCTGTTACTTTTTGTACCACATTG